TGTCGTCGTGCCGCTCGATGATGCCGCGCTGGGCGCTGCCGACTCGCTCTCGCCCACCAAAGCTAGCGAGGCCGAGTCGTAGCGGCGCATCCACCTACTCACAAAAAGCATGTCTGATGCTCCTCACAACAGCCGTGCAATGTTCAGATTTCCATAGATGCGCCTCGCTCCGTTCTGCGTGCTGTGTCGACGGAATGGCGTGTGGATGTGCATGAGGCCGAGGCAGTGCCCGATTCGGACGGTGGCAGGTGGGACGGGAGCAGAGGCCTCCAACGAGCCGGTCTGAGCGGTAGGTGCAATGAGAGCGGCTTGATATTTAAGATTGATACTTGTCTTGGTTTATGGGGGGGTGAGGAGCACTAGTATCCGACAGAGACGAGGTAGTCGCCGAGGCCTTCTGCGACCTTGTTGGCGTCTCCGGGGATGATGGGGGCGATGTAGACGCACACGAGCACGGCCTGGTTGGTCTTGACTGCGACGAATCCGTCGGCCTGCATATCCGAGAAGTCAAAGCGAGTTAGTTACGAACTGCGTGAAGGAAGAGGTGGGGTTGAATTGGACTTACGCCTTGCTTGCCGTAGATTGTCTTTGGTGTGACGCCGAGGGTGAAGTACTTCTTGCCATTGGCACGGACGCCACCGGCTTGGAGACCTGACGGGTCGTCAAAGCCTGCAATGATTGCCTTTTGCTCCTCGGCCGTAACCTGCGCATATGCCAGCCATCAACGAAAGCACTTCAGTATCACTTTGCTTGCACTTGGAACTGGGGTTTGGGTAGAAACTTACGTTGAAGTCGGCGCTTGTGGCCCAGACGCCGCCCTTGAGACCGATGATGGCGGCCTGGGTGATCTTGCCCGTACCGACGAGGTTGTTGTCTACGTAGCCCTGCCAAGACATTGTTGCTAAAAAGGTGTGATGAATGTGAAGCGAGGATTCGGATAGGATGGTGGAATGGTGCCAGGACGGATGGTGTTGGTTTCGCCTCGATGACGCTGACCAGCCCCCCTGACGCAGTCAAGGCCAACGCACCAACTCGACACACACACACGTCGAGGAGGTTCCCGGACGACAAGAGCAGTGTTGGTCCAAGCGCGCGCCAGAGTAGATGCACTGCCTACTAACATCCGACAAAAAATGGCAAAAAGCTGACGCGGAGCCGTGACAAAGTGGAGGCTAGGCCGGCTGGCGAGGAAGGGCAAAGTCGACGCGAAAATGTTACTGGCAAAAATGCGAAATCGATCTGTGAACCGACGCAAAGAGGTGGATGTTTCCGCCAGGCCCCCCTTCTCGGCGCTATCCCGGCTGATCTCGCTTGATCGGAATCTCTGCTCGCCGCCTCTGCAGCACTGACGGCGTGAGATTTTTGGGCACCCAAGCGCAACCGCACAGGTGGAGCTGCCAACCCGCTCCTTGGCACGCATCGCCCATATGCCCTATTCTTCCGCGCTCCTTCGAGGTTTCTTCGCATCCCACACATACACCACCACCACCACCACCATCACCACCCAGCTCACAAAGGCACACTTTGCAACCATGGCTCGCACTTTCTTCGTCGGCGGTAACTGGAAGATGAACGGCTCGCTTGAGTCCACCAAGCAGCTCACCCAGACCCTCACCCAGGCCAAGCTCGACTCCAACGTCGGTAAGTGCGCAGGCCGCCGTTTCAAACTCTTCCGCACCGACAACTGACCGTTTTCGTGGACTTGGATTGGTGATGGCTGCACAGAGGTTGTTGTGGCTCCCCCTGCGCTGCACCTGCTGACCGTCAAGGAGCAGCTTGCTGGCTCCAAGGTTGCCGTCTCGGCGCAGAACGCCTACCACAAGGCGAGCGGTGCCTTCACGGGCGAGGTGTCGGTCAACATGCTCAAGGACGCCTCGATCCCCTGGGTCATCCTCGGCCACTCGGAGCGCCGTACGCTCTTTGGCGAGTCGGACGCCAACGTCGCCGAGAAGACCGCCGCCGCTCTGGCCGAGGGCCTCTCGGTGATCCTGTGCATCGGCGAGACGCTCGAGCAGCGCGAGGCCAATGAGACGGTCAACGTTGTCGTTCGTCAGCTCAACGCCGCCGCCGACCAGGTCAAGGACTGGTCCAAGATCGTGGTCGCCTACGAGCCCGTTTGGGCCATCGGCACGGGCAAGGTGGCCACCTCGGAGCAGGCGCAGGAGGTGCACGCCGCCATCCGCAAGTGGGCCGCCGATAAGCTCGGCAAGGACACCGCCGACCAGCTCCGCATCATCTACGGCGGCTCCGTCGCCGCCAAGAACTGCAAGGAACTCGCCCAGCAGCCCGACATTGACGGCTTCCTCGTCGGCGGCGCCTCGCTCAAGCCCGAGTTCGTCGACATTGTCAACGCCAACAACTGACTAGCACGCTCGCCCGCCAGGATCTAGCGGGTCCTTGGTGCAGGCGGTCGCAATACACAAAGTGCCGCCGAAACAGTACAGTCGGCACTCTTTCAGCGCACAGACGCGCGGAATCCAAAAATGCCCCCATCTCACCGTCTGTGTGTGGGACGCTATGGGCTCGGATCGGACCGGAAGCGGGCACAAATCGGCACGATCCAGCTTTCGCACGTTCCGCACTGTGGGTGATCTGCTGAAACATTGTGCATTGAGACAAGGATTCATTCGGGAGCTGCTGTTTCTACCAAAGTGTGACACGTGCGCGCGCGCTTAGACGCGCTCAATGACGATGGCGATGCCCTGACCGCCGCCGATGCAGGCAGCGCCGAGGGCGTACTTTTTGTTGAGGCGGACGAGGTTGTGCGTGAGGTTGGCCATGATCCTTGCGCCGCTTGCGCCGAGCGGGTGTCCCAGGGCGATGGCGCCGCCAAACACGTTGGTCTTGTCATTGGGCAGTTCGAGCTCCTTCTGCACCGAGAGGAACTGGGCGGCAAAGGCCTCGTTGACCTCGATCAGGTCCATGTCCGACACGCTGAGGCCGGCGCGCTTGAGCGCAAGGCGCGTAGCCTCCACGGGTCCAATGCCCATGATGCTGGGCTCGCAGGCAGTCACGCCGTACGACACAATGCGCGCAAGAGGCTTGAGGCCAAATTCCTTGACCGCCTGTTCCGACGCGATCACATTGGCGGCGGCACCGTCACAGATACCGCTCGCATTGCCCGCCGATACAGTGCCCTCCTTCTTGAACACGCTGGGGAGCTTGCCCAGGCTCTCGACGGTCGTCTTGGCACGCGGGTGCTCGTCGGCATCAAAGCTCTCGGTGGCCTTCTTGGACTTGATCTCGACGGGCACAATTTCGTCCTTGAACGCTCCGTCCGCTAGCGCCTTCTGGTATCGCTGCTGCGTCTGCAGCGCATACTCGTCACACTGCTGCCTCGAGATTCCGTACTTGGCAGCGAGGTTTTCGGCAGTGATACCCATGGGCGTCGGCGTGGGAACCTGATCCGTCAAAGCCGCAGCGAGCGAATCGACCAGCTTGAGGTCCTGACCGTAGCGCGTGTTTCCGAACCTCACACCGGAGAGAGTGTAGGGTGCTTGGGACATGGACTCTGTGCCTCCGGTGAGCACAACGTTCGAGTCGCCCACGCGGATCTCATGCACTGCATTGATGATGCTCTGGAATCCCGAACCGCACAGCCTGTTGACCGTCAGCGCAGGTACGGTGACGGGCAGGCCGGCGTGGTGGCCGACGTGACGCGCGAGGTACGCGGCCGTGTTGTCGCTCGCGTGCACGTTACCAAAGATGGTCGCGTCCACCTGCGTCGATGCCGGCAGCTCCGCCAGCGCCGCCTTGGATGCCAGTCCACCCAGCTGCGATGCGCTGAACCCAGCGAGCTTGCCGCCAAACGCACCAAACGGCGTACGCTTGGCCGCCACGATGAATGCCTGAGATGCCATGATTGTGAATATGAGGGAAAAATGAGGGGGCGAGCTTGATGCAGAAGGGAAGGAAGACGAGGTGGATGTCCGGCTCAGCCCCAAACTACGCGCGCGGGCCGCGTCGACCGACGAGAAGAATGCCCCTTGCTCTGAGCCGCGGACGAGGCGTGGCAGCGTGCGTGCTGTACTGCCCGCCTCGGCCGCTCGATCCTTGGCCTTTCACACTCTGCTCGTCATTCCGGCTCCTGCGCGCCTCCGGTTGCCGAACCTCCATCCATCCCCGTCCGCCAAACTGGGGACCCCACCTTTCGGACTTTTTTTCCAATTCGACACGAGAGGTGGCGTAACATTCATTTTTTTCGACGCGCTGCACAATTCCGCCTCCCTGCCTCGTTGTACGCTTCCATCTCAACGATCCGACCATCGCACTTGCACACACACACACGCACCTACACCACAAGTAAAAATGACTGATCCTAGCTGCAGCTTTGCAGCGCCCCTGACGAGTATGATTAGGAGACCCATGCAAAAAAGCCTACGAGTGCGAATGCGAGTGATACAGGATGGAAACATGCGACAAGAAACGACAGCGAGCAGTACCAATGATTAGCGAGCGGGAGAGGTGTGCGTGCATGTCACCCATGGAGACCGAGAGAGAGAGAGAGCGACGGAACGAGAGTGGGGCCGAGACGAGACTGGGGAAGTGGAAAGCGCAGAGCAGCCAAGTGCGTGGGGAAGACCCTTCGAGTATGCTTGGTAATGGTACAGATGATGCTGCCCTGGCTGTGGAAGAAGCGTCGAGTCGAGATGGAACGACTGACGTTTTCGAATGCGAAAGCGGAAATGCTGATTAGAAGGCGTCAACCTCCAAGCGAGGAGCCACCTCGCCAGGGACCGAATCGAGAAAGCACGCGTGGCGATGCCGACGGCGGGGGCGGCGCGTAACCCTCGACGCCCACACCAGCCTTGCATGCACGAACGAACGACGAAATGAGAGCGAGTGCCGAGACTCGTTACCCGAGACCGTGGGTTCCGGCTCCGGAAAGGCCGAGGCCGAGGTCGAGAGCGAGCATTGATGCAAAAGGAGGTTTTGATGAAGCCTTGGTTCGTGCCTCAACCAGCTGTGGATGGCGCAGCTCCGTGTGCGGTGCGCCATCCTTACAGTGTGGGCGTCTCCAGCTTCAGGCTGCCAGAGAACCCGCGGCGAGCAGCGAGCGACTGTTTGTCACCAAACGCCATGCCCGCACCGAGGCGCTGGCCATCGCCATGCAGCCGAGCAGCGCCCGACTCTGGGTCGACACCAGCGCCCGCCGCCGACGGCGTCTGGCTCATGTTGATCCACGGCGAGATCGTCCATCCATCGCTCGAAGCACCGCTGCCGCCCATCGCGCTGACATTGGACAAACCGAGCGCGCTTGGGGTGATGCCCATGGGCTTGGACAAGCCAGACATGTCGGTGTGGCGAAGATCGGAAAGCGCCAGCTGGCCAGGCGCTTCGGAGGCCGTCGACATCCAGGACCCACCACCGTCGTACTGCATCTTGGATGGCGTTGGTTCTGCTGCCGAAGGCTTGGATTCCTCGAGCGTGCCGAATGGCATCGAGTGGATGCTGTCGAGGCAGCTCGCCATCACCACGTCCGAGCCGGGCGCTGCACTGGAAGTGCCACCGTCCAATTTGTCGCAGCCGGTTGCTGCTCCAGCAGTCCCTTCCGACGATGCGATGGCAGCGGAAGCAAGCGCAGAAGGAGACCGTGCCGTTGGCGCTCTGACTACATTTGAGGCGTGAATGGCTCGCTGGATCTTTCTCGACGAGCCTCCATTCTCGGAATCGGAATGTTCGGAGGGTACGGTGAGCTCGGTGAGATCGCTGCCGTGGCGCGAGAGGTTTCCGCGGACGTCAAAGGGACTGAGCAGCGTGCTGCTCCGGCGATGCGAAAGGGGCGAAAACGAGCTCCGGCGACTAGCATCTTCGGATCGAGGCATGGAATCGTCCGCCAAGTCGGCCATCGACGGCAAGGCGAGTCCACTAGCAAATGGCGGCGCTCCCGCCATCGACGTGTTGCTTGCGAGCGGGATGCGATGCGTGGAGCCAGGCGCGATGGTCGAGGCAAAGACCGGATGCGTGGCGTGCAGAGGGTGCTGCGAAGAAGTCAGCGACCACGGTGCCGGTGCGGGACCTAAGCCCAAGTTCTGCATGGCCGTGGCCGTGACACTTTGGGATCGGTTTCGGCCGCGATCCAACGGTGCATTGGGAGCGAAGAGGTCGACTCCGAGATCGACCGATGCACGCTGAGGTAAAGGATGTGTGGTCTGGGTGGATGGGACGGCTCGGTGGATTAAAGAGATCTGCTCGACCAACTTCATGTTGTCGGCACGCATGCGGGCAAGCGCCTCTCGGAGGAATTGAGACTCTTCCTCTTGACTTTGCGCACGACGATGCAAGTCGGTGAGCTGCGCCTCGAGCTGCATCGTGTATTCCTCTTTGCGCTCCCTGAGCCGACGTTGAGCGTTGCGGTTCTGCTCCTTGCGCCGCGCGATCTGCCGGAGGCGCTCGGCGTCGAGCACCTCGTCGTTGTGTTTGCTGGAAGATCGCATTATGATCGGCATGAGATTAGAAAGCCGAGTGACAAGGGTTATGGCGCTGGAGAAAGGCTAGACGATTGAAGAGTGGGGGCGTCTGCGATTATCGGAAGCAAAGTGTCGACAAAGTAGTTTGTGTGATGACTGCGCGATGGTCGAAAGGGATGGGCAAGTGGGCGCAGAAGGAGAAGATGATGGAAAGTCGACGGGGTATCGAGACGAAGGCGCTGCAAAGGTGTAAAGTAGCAGACTTGCGGCGACGGCAAGCGCGAACGAAGCAGTGTCGGAAAGTGTCGAGGCGAGACGGTCAAGATGGTAGCTCTGATGTGCGATCAAAAGGATGATCACGACCGGACAGAAGAACGGGCGACAAGGTGATGCGTAGTGGACAGAGACGTCGCAAGGCCCCCGAAACTTGGGTCTTTTTATCGGATTGGCTGTTGAAGGCCGGTGCGGTGGAGCCACCGAGGAGGAGGAGAAGGTGGAGGCCAGTGGCAGCGATGGAAGTTTTGCGCAGCCGGCGTCTTGATCTGCTTCGGCTCGGTGTCGAGAGCTTGAAAGAGCTCGAATGCGAAGGGTCGAGACCGGTGCCTGAGGATGCGTCAGGATCGGAGTTGACACCGAAGTGGCTTGCCCAGGGGCGCGTGAATGAAGCTTGAAGCTTCGGTAAGCTCTGGCTGGATGCCGATGCAACGGCGAGGTTCCGATGCGGCGACGTTCCGATGCCGTGGAAGGTGTGGCGCACGCTGATGGAGAACGATGGCAAAGATGTGTCAGGATGCGCACGCGGTGGTCAAGAGGCGCTTGCGATGCCCTGAGGAGGCTTCAGACTGCTGCTTCGAGGAGGTATGCAGCGGGGATGGAGTGGTGGAGAGACGGGTGGATTGGAGTCAAGAACGTCGGCAGGTAATGTGCAGAGCGAGTTGCGGGTCAAGCCGGCGCTCCATGAGACGAACTGAGCACGGGAGCGAGCAGCGAGCCAACGAGCGCAACCGCCGTCAAAGTTGCCACCGCTGGAGCCTCAGCGTCTAGAGGAGCGGCTGCGATTTAGGCTTCGGGTGCCAAGGGACGGGTTGAGAGGGAAAAGCAGAGGAGGAAACTCTGTGTTTGCGCGCACGATGCAGATGAGCACGAGGAGGAGGGCGGCGGGGAGAGGCAGGAGAGGTGAGGGAACGAAAGGAGGGCGGAAGGATGAAGCGTACGGAGCGGGGGAAGGGGGAAGGGGAGGGGGAGCGAGAACTCTGAGAAACTCAAGGTTGAAGCGAGCGACCGTGGCAACGGCGATGCAGGTCCGCAAAGTCGGCTTGTCCCTTGAACACCGTACAAGGCTGGTGCCCGCTCGAACCGGACTCTGAAGCGTGCTTTGGGATGGGTGTGGCGTGGAAGCGCGCAGAGACGATCGCGAGCGGGCCACGTTGACGTGTGCGGCGTGCGAGGGTGGCAATCGACGCTTCGTTCGCTGGGCAGGGCTAGCCAAGCGACAACAGACAGACAGACGCTCGGGAGGTCAGGTAGAATCGGCAAGCCTTTCGGCTTGGGGCCGTTCGGGAGGGGCACAACACCCAGGGAAGCACACGGGCGGGCGGGTCAGGAGTCTACCATTAGAGGCAGCTCGCAGGGTCCCAGGGTCGAAGGATCGCAGGGTCACGGGCCGGTCGAGCAGCGGATGTGGAAATCGGTGCGGACTGCCGGCACGACGTTCGCCACGGTGTCTCGACGTGGTTCTGCAGCTGTCTTTTTTTCTTTTCTTTCCTGCGCCGGACGGGCATGGCTCGAGTGTGGCTCGAGTGGAGGAGGAGGAGGAACTGGAGGAGGAGCGCCAAATCTTGCAGAATCGTCCAAGCGATCCAGGGTGCAGACCCGACAGAGATCACGCCGCGCAGCGTCGGTGCATCCGAATCCGCGGTTGCGCCCTCGACTCGAGCTAACCGGGCCACACACGCACGCACTCACACACTCTCTCTGTGGCACAGCAACACGGGCGAGTGGCAAGACGCTGCAACGCAGCCCGGCTTTGCAGCGCGCCGCTGGAAGGCGGTGCTGTTGGCGATGTGGTTGGAAAACTGAGCTTTGCTGTGGCCATCGTGCGGCACATGGCCGACCCTGGCAGCTCCCCAACGTTCTTCCCGCGTGCTGGCCATCGTTGACCTGCGTGCCAAGATGGCAGTCGGCCACCTCTGTTGGCCAAGCTAAAATCTCATCCAGGTGGCTGGCATAAGCATTCGCCAAAGCGTCTAGGCTACCGATGACGGGGGCTAGCACATGCCAGGCATGAGAGCACCGGCCAATGTTTTTCCAGCTTGGATCGCTGACGTCGACCCACTGCTGGTCGTTGCTGGGGTGCAGCCAACTTGGTGCGGAATTTACCGTGGCACGTCCGTAGCCGAGCCCAACACAACCCATGTGCCCAATGCAATGCGGGCGGTGCAGCCGCGCATGTGCGCTGGGCCGCTTTTCGGATCCCACGATCGAGACGGTCGAGACGGCACCTGCGCAGTCACGACCAAGCGAGGCGTGAAGACGCGTCGACGGCACATCCGGCGTCCGCTCTGACGCCGACGTGCGAATTCCTGGATCGAGCCTCGCGACTGCCACGCTCCCCCACCCCGTCTTGGCCCTCCTCCCCGCCGTCATCAAATCGCACCGCCGTCCGTGGCCTCTCGAGACGGTGGTCTTTTAGCCGGCCAGCTAGTTGGCCAACCGCATGAGCGTAGACCGCACCCTCTCATGCGCATCCTAGCTTGGCGCTTGGGCGATCAAACCTACGCACCCTTGCTTGCCGACGAGCCGACAATCTTCCAGCTAGGCGACCGACGGTCGCGTCCTGCATGGCATCGATCCGCGCAGCATCATCCACGAGGGCACCTGTGCTCTCTACGCGAAGCTGTACTTCCGATAGCAGAGAATACCTCCCGACAACGGGCTTCTTTGCCATCGGTCATAGGGTAATGAACGCCTTCGACGTCTTGTTTTTCCCAACGAACGCGGCGGGCATGCCCGTCCGGCATTCTTATTTTTGAGCGGCTCGTCCAAGTGCGCAAATACGGTGCTGCAACCCCGGATCGAGCCGGTGCTCAGGGTGCCGTGCGTCCGATCGACGGGTGAATTTTCCGCGAGTTTCAGCAAGGGTACGCGCGCGCGTCGCTTACGGTGCCACACCGTTTATGGAGAGGGCGCTTAATCTTCCGCCCTCATCGAGCCTGCCTCCTCTCCCGAGAGACCCTTTTTTCGTGGACGCGCGCAGCAAACAAAGGCGAGCGTTCCATGACGTAGGAACAACCACTCCATGACTAGGTCTTCCGTATCCTTCTCGGGCTCTATCTTGTGGCAAAATACGGAACTCGCGGCAAGACGGAGCAGGACGATGTCTGGAATTCTTGTTACTGCATGAGTCTGCCACCAGAGAATCTTCGGCTGCACGCAAGAGCCGCGCTTCCCCGTTGCGACTGTGCAGTTTCGGTCCGACTCGACTTGTCGCCAAGCGGCAAGCGAGTCTGATCCAACTATAAGCGAGTCTGATCCGGCACAACAGTCTGTCAACAGACTCGATCGGCCGGTATCATGGTTGAACGAGGTCATCGCGGCAGCGATCTTCGCCATGCGAGATTTGAACTTCGAGCTGACCCGTAGTTGGGATAGTCGGAACGGACCTAGCGGCGTTTAGACGCACAGACGGAGCCACGACGAGCCTTATCCTTTCACGGAGACAATGCGGAATGGCGCGCAGCATGCAGAGGCGAGAGTGGCGTTTAGGGATTCAAAGCCACGTTCGTGGCGCGCAGCTGCACGATCAGAGATGAGCATCGGGCCGCACATTCGGCAAGCGGCGCTTCCGAAAGGCCAGCAGCCAGTGTTGTCCTATCCGAGTCCAATCGGCTGCCTGGCCTTGAAACTCAGAAGCGAAGTGGATATCGATTGGCCCGTTTCGGTTGGGCCGTAGTTCAAAATAGGCTTGCATGGTCAGCTGGGAACGAGAACGGACGCTTCCGATTCGGCTTGTCGCGCAGAATCGCATCCACGTCTGTCTGCAGTGGGCTGCACGCCAGGCCTCTTTTCGGTCGATGCATTGGATTGGGTGTGATAGCAAAACAACGTCGCCAAGGTCAAGAGAATCGCGCTTTGCCGTACGCATCGGCCGCTGCGAGTGCAGATGCTCGGGTGCAGTAGCGAGCGATCGGGTTTGTACCACAAAAACGTGCCTGCCGACCGGTCACGTTGACCCCGTCCCGATCGCCGCTCAAGTCCGCCCGCGTCACATTTGCATCCCGAGCCCTCGACTCCCGTGCGCATGGTCCCGCACATCCGCTACTCGTCTCCACCCGTCGCACACGTATCTGATCATCACACCGCGAATCTGAAGAAACCGAAGCGATGGAATTGATACAGTGTAGTCGGAACAAAGAGAGCTAAAAATACAGTAGGTGGTGCGATCACTTGTCAGCGGTTGCCACGGCGGAGTGGTTGCCGCCGCGGGCCGTAAGTTTTCGCAGGTTGGCCGCCCACTCGTCGGCACGCGAGTTGGCACGCTGTCTTGCGCCGAGGAATCCCGAGGCCGGCGCCTTGACTGGGCTCGTCTCGGGGCTCCATCTCGACGCCGGGCCCGGAGCGGTAGGAGTGGCTGCTACTGCGTGGACGAGGTGGTTGGACGAGTTGGTGGGGGTGATGCTTGCGCTCGATGCCGCCGGTGTAGGTGCGGTCTGCGCAATGAGCGGCGAAGGCTTGGTGTATGCCAGGCTCGAGTCCGATCGGTCGGAATCCAAGCTCTGTCGCTCACCTTGCCCCTCCCCGTTAGCCAGGGCGAGGAGATCTTTGAGGCTCGACGAGCGCGGCGTGATAGCTGCCGACGCAGCTGAGCCTGCCCGGATCGTCTCGTCAGTGGGGGTTGCGGCCCAGTCCGGAATCTCGGGACGCAGGTGCTTCGATGCGCCTTGGGGAGACGTGGGCTTGGGCGGGCTGACGAGCACCGCGTTCGAGGTGTGTTCGCGGCGGAACTCGGGTCGTACTTTTTGGCGCGGAGTCATCTGGGTAGCGTAGCGGCGGCCGTAGTCGTCGCCGGTGCTGTCGTTGCTGCTGATGCTCTCGCCGCGCAGTCGCGATCCACCGCGCACCGTAGCGCTGCCATGCACGGGGAACGCATCGGGCGAGTCGGAGTACGCGCGCACCATGCGACCAGGTACAAGCCCCAGCGCCGACCCCATCGACTCTGGCCCGCCCATCGCATGCATGCCCTGGTGCGGCACGCCGTGCAACTCGTGAGGAATCCTCACGTCGCGCGGCGAGCTCGGCGAGTGCTTCGCGCGTCCGTCTTCACCCGCAGCAAACGGCAGCCCGCGCAGGAACGTCGCCGAGTGCGGTGTGGGCGGCAACGACTCGGTTCCCACCGACGAGCCGTACGACTCGCGCGACGATGCAGGCAGCAGCGGCGGCAGCGGTGCGACTCCGGCCATGGGCGACGGCATGGGCGATGTAGTCGGCAAAGCCACCGGCATCCTGCGATCGCTTCCCGGGCGCGGGTAATTCGACCTAGCCAGCCGTGCCGATGAGAAGCCCGTGGACGATGCTGGATCGAGATCGCTCCTCGACGGCGCCGCGCCGGACCTGGCTCCATCTCGCAATGCTCCGTGCGATGCTCTCGGTGCGAGCCCGGGGCGCTGAAGCACCGCGCCGGCCGTATCGTGGCTCACGCCGCGCTGCATAGGCGTGGGGCGCTGCATCTCTGCAACGCGGCTGTGCACGGCACCCCCCGCGCCCGAGCGCACCTGTGCGTAGGCGCGGTGGTGCGCATCATCGAGCGTGCGCGCCGACGACGGCGGACTCATCGCATGCTGGGGCGAAAGCAGCCCATGCGAGTGCTGCGCATACTGGCTCGGCGTCGGGATGCCGATTGTCAAGTTAGCTCCACCAAAGCCCGGAGGAGCCGGCCCGCCCACCGCCCACTCCTGCTTCTGGCGGCGTCGCAGCTCGGCCGGGTTGTCGAACGACTTTTGCTTGCGCAGCTGGCGCATGCTGACTGGCGGCGGTCCCGACGCATCCGTGCCGGCATCCACCGTGATCTTGACCAGGCTCGTAGGCTTGTGGCCGATATCATCCAGCGTGGTGGCAGCTCGCGGAGGCGCAGGGAAGCCGTACTGGCCCACACCGAGCGGTGCAAGCCCAGGCGTCGATGCGCCCGATCCGGGTAGGCCAAAGCTGGGCATGAGCGGCGAGATCATCGGTGGCGATGGCAGACGCAGACCACCCGTCGATGAGGTGTTGCTGGTGGCGGACGCAAAGCGCTGCATCTGCGACGGACGCGGCGTGGTAAAGTCGTAGGCGCATGCAAGCTGCCGGTCTTCCTCGTTCTGCGGTGTGCGCAGCTCCACGCTCGTATCCGCAGACGAGTTGTCCCAGCCCGACATGGCCTCGAACGACGATTCGACCCCGGACGTGAAGGAGGACGAAGACGAAGACGAGCGGTCGCCCGCCTCTTCATCGTCATCGGTTGCTGCTGCGTCGCTGTGTGCCGGCGTCGGGCAAATGATGGAGCTGAGGTCGAGGAAGTGTGGCTTGACAGGTTTTGTCGACGCCTGTCCCTGCTGTGCGCCCTTCTTGGGCGCTCTGTAGCGCGCACTGAGCTTGTGGAACGTTGTATCGAGCCACGCCTGCTTCTTGTCGGTGCTTTGTGCGTGCTTGGCAGCGGCGTGCAGATCCGCTGCTGACGCACTGCGCGCATCGGCGCCACGCTGGCGGTCGAACTCTTTGCTGAGCGAGCAGGTGAACGATAGCAGCGAAGCCGTGTCGGAGACTGCGCCCGCCTCGGTGGCTGCTCTGCGCGCGGCGGCCGAGGCGGCGAGGATGTGCATGTAGCTGTCGTCGCTGACGGTGCGCATCATGTCGTGCGAGGGCGCGGCGGCGGGCGGCAGCGGAAACGCAGGCGTGGTGGGCGAGGTGACGGTGCTGCTGTGGGCACTGCTGGTGCGGCTGGCCTCGCTGAAGTTGGGCCGCTTGGTGGAGCTCGCTGCAGACGGACGGCGGAGGCGCTCCCACCGACTCATGGTCGGCTGCGCGTTGGTATGCGCCTGGCTGCTAGCATCCTCGGAACTCGAGGCCGAGCTCTGTGAGAGGCTGGGTTTGTGTTTCGTGCCCATTGCTGGCTGCGCGTCGACTGATTCGACGGTCTTGGGGATGAAGTGCCAAGTCGGTGATCAAGCGCGGATGATATGGAGCATACCCTCGGCGCGCGTGGAAGACGCGTTAAACGCTGGTGTTCCTGGCGTTGTTCGCAGCGCGATGAGCCGCTAGCGCGCGATACAAGAGAGGCAGAGAGGATCGTGGATGGTAGCGCTACCGAGAGGGTGTCGGGAGATAAGGAGGCTGATGGCCGGGCAGAAGGCAGCAAGGTTGGGAGGAGGGACCGGCGTGCCACCCTAAAAATCTCGGGCGGTAGCAAGGCCAAGGCTCAAGCTTGACTTGTTGCGCTCCCGCTGCCTAACGCACAGGATCGGATGCGCGGCTAGCCTTTCCTGCCGCGCTCAAGCTCCTGTGCAGCGAAGACGGCTATCCAGGGGAGGGGTTGGTGCAGCTGCTTGGCAGAAACTGCAACGCGTCTAGCGTCTCTCGAGCGTTGCCCCTGCTGGACCAGCGAAGGTGCTGCCTAATGACGGCACGCTTCGAACGCGCAAAAGGTTGAGGCGTTTGCTCAAAGTTTACGCGCAGATCGAGAGGAGGTCTAGGGCTTATGGTGCCGAGCCCATGGTCTGGTATGGCCTGGTATGGCCTGGAGCGCGGGGCGGATGTGCCTGGGCGCTTAGAAGCGAGCAGGCGGGAATGTGAGCGTGTGAGCTTGTGCCACCCACGCTGGCCTGCTCGCCTGTGTGCGTGGCAAACGTTTGGTGTCTCGGAGAGGGGCAGGCACGACATGCGCAAACTGAGACTCTGTCTCTGTCCTCTGTCCGTGGTGGGAGAAAAAAATGCCAGTCCGACGTCTGCGCGGCTTTGCATGCATTTTTGAAATGATGCGCAAATACCAACCAACACTACTCTCTGACTGCGCCCTTTTGCCCTGTCCAAGAACGCCGAGGCTGACACTACAAATTGGCTGCACCCTTGCATGCTGCACTGCATCCGTGCATCCACCTCCGCACACCGCCCTCGTCTCAGCAGCGAGCACTGCAGCACCATCGTCGCTCGACTCGCTCCGTCCATCATGCATCACGGCCAGCGTCCCGATTGTCACTTCACCCCGGTCCTCGATTCGAACAGAACAGAGGGGCAGGACATAAGGCTCTCGGGTCAGACGACAGAATGGGGTGGGTGGCCCCATCAATGCAGCCGTTCGTCACGGTATTGGGTTTTAAAGCTGCGAGCCAACTCCGCCTCGGTGTGCGAACTTTGTGCGACCAGGGCCTCACGCCTTGCGCCTCGCCGAAGCTCCCGCGTGCGCGCGCCAGTCCAGTCCCCCTCTCTCTTTCCGATTGCCACACTGGAATGGCTTAACCTATGCCGCGCAAAGAAGCTTTTGGTGAAATTCCCGCCTGTTTTTTTTTTTCCTGCCAAGCCCAACACCTGCACACCGACGCGTCTAGACGCGACGAGACCCACAAGAGGACGTGACCATCGCCTCGGAGGATTCCACGCCGTCTGCAGGCATGTGCAGCCAGCCGCAGCGAATCTTCATGCCGCCCACACAGGTCTGCGCATAAGCCCGCTTCGTGGCGCAGCATGGCTCACACGCACCGCACTCTTCCGAACACACCATCCACACACTCTGTGCAGCTCGTTGTTGAATCTGTCATGCGTAGCGATGGATTGCGACGGCCAAGTGCGCAGTGTTAGAGCGACAGAACCGGCCGTTGCCCTGTCGGCACTTGAGCGTCGAGTCGCTATGCATCTGTCTAGCCGATGGTGTCTTGAGGCTGAACAAGCATCACGTAGTTGAGCGGCACCTGCTGGTTTTCTGCCGCACTGAGCTGTTTGAGCTTTGATGCGTCAATGCTGTCCGCCCTGCGCTTGTGCATCCTGTTCGCTTCGGTCGGACTGCCATCTTGCTGCTGCGCCCGAGAGTCCTTTGCGTCCTTGTCGGAATCTGAGGCCTGCTTGGATCCCGTGACGTAGGTATTGCATCGAGCGCCAGCCATGAGCTTGGCCAGGTCGTCGTACGAAGGCGTGTAGGTGAGCTTGCAGTCCGGGGTGGCGGAGAAGCCCAGCTTGGTGTGCTTGTCCATGTTGAGAGCCAGGAGGCTAAACGAGCCCGAGTCCGAGATCTTCTGGCACCCAGCGTCGGGCACGATCGCATGGGCTGTAGCATGTTCGGCATCGCCACATGGCTGCAGAACAGTGACCCGGTCACCATCCGCTGCTACAAAGGGCAGCACAGCTGCCCCGATAAAAGCCAACAGTGCGTACGCAGACACCATCATAGAAAGTCTTGACCCGAGGACGACTCACACTTTGGAGGGGCAAGACTGAGCTAGGAGGGTATTTATATTTTGACCCTCCCAGTGGGGACAAGTGAAGGAGGAAGTCGCGGGTGGTCGCCGAGATGAACCAGGGGGTCCGCGCCAATCCGACGTATCCTAGACAGATCCCGGTCTCGTTTCATAACCACACTTGCGCTCGGTCCCCACACGCATAGGCTCAGCCTTACAATGCAATCCAAGCCACTCTCCGTTGCCTTGGTCATCGCCGTGCGTCGTTGCACGGTATCAAAATAGGCGATCCGTCCACACCGCCATTGCATTTCGCACTGCTCCCGTCAAATTCATCCGAATCTCGGACCCCAAAAATCCACCATCAATTCGACGGCTTCAACCGCCCGCTCTCAACGTCATCAACAATGTCCTCTGCCCTTGACACCGGTCTGTACCGCCCGTGCAACCATGATGGCCCACCTCTATCGCTGTTCACCAAACACACGTACACGCCGCACGCACCGCTGTCCATTGTATACAATCCGATTAGAAAACGAAAACGAAAAAGAGCGTAAAACCACAACGCACGAGCGCACCAGCGTCTAGGACGACTGTGGCGCAGCATGCTCCTCGACCACCTCATCCTCCTCCTGGTGAATCATGGTGAGCCGCTTGCGCTCCTCCTTCTTCTTGAGCAGACTCCTCCTGAAGACATCCGGAACGAGCCTGTCCTTGACGCTCTTCTTCTTGGTGGGCTCGTCGGACGAATACGTGTAGCCGCGGTTGGGCCTCTGCTCGCCCGTGAGCATGTCGTAGTGCGTGCTGCTGGCGCGCGAGGCCGTCTGCCGGAGCTCGTGCATCTGCACGCCGCCAGGCGCCGCCTCGTCGACGCGCGACGCCGATGTCGCCGCACGCACCAGCGGCGCAAAAGTGTGGTGCGTCATGCTTGGCCTGCCCATGCTCTCCGCGTACTCGGGCCGCGCGTGCGGGATGGCCGGATCCGTCGTAAAGTCGTGATCGTTATCTTGCTTGTCGACGTACCGCAGAATATCGACGTCTGTCGGGTAGTACGACTGGCGGAAGCACTTTGCCAGCACGCGCGGCAGCAGCGCCAAGAAGCACGTCAGAAGCCCCAGCATCCAGAATTGAATGCTCGGGTACAGGAAGTGGTTGTTGCCGTACGAGTAGGTCGACGTGAACGACGCATAGATCGGCGCAAAGGCGAACATCACCACCGTGCCCAACCACACACCGCCAAAGATGAACCACGTCCACGCGCGCGCATTGATGCCCACGAACAGGTTCGCCACCAACACCGACGCAATCGCCATGCCCGTCGACCACTCGTACAGGTTGATGTCGTATCCATCGCTCCTCGCCGACGTCGTGTTGTACGAGTAGGCGAAGAAGAAGAACAGAATCACCGACTGGTAGATGCCGTCGATGAAGTAGATGATGAACGGTCCCAGTCCAAAGTACGCGCGCTTGCGCGACTGGTGGTACAGCTCGGGCACCTGCATGAGCACCTTGTCGTTGATGTTGCGGTCAAAGATGCCGATGCAGATGACCGCCAGCACGGTCCACACGGCGTTCCAGAGCAGAATGTAGACATAGTCGATCGCCTGCGTCGTCGACCACGCACAGTAGATCTGGAACCAGAACAGCGTGCCCACCTGGATGAACTGCTTGTAGAAGAAGTTGGTGATCATCGTCGCGTTGCGGTAGTACGACCAGTGGCCGTGCACGAGCACCAGGCGCTTGAGATAGCGGAACTGCGCGATGGCGTAGTCGGACGAGTTGACCGCCTGCAGACCCTCCTCACCCGCGATACCCACACCCACGTGGGCGGCCTGGATCATGCTCACATCGTTGGCACCGTCGCCGATCGCAAGCGTCATCACACCCAAGCCGTCCTTGATGAGACGCACGATGAGCGCCTTCTGCAGCGGCGACACACGGCAGCAGATGACCGCCTTGCACTGCGTCGAGATGCGCAGCAGCAGATCCTTGCTAAAGTCCTCGCTGAGCGCATGGCCCAGCGCCGTTCCGTCAATCACGAGCGCGAAGCCGCCGGAGCGTTGACCGTTGTCCTCGCCCACCAGCGACACCTGACTCACGCTGCTGCGGCGGTTGCGGTGGTACGACGGCCTGCGCGACATGAACGACGATCGTCGACTTTCGCTCTCCTCGCCCGGAGGCTGGTGCTCCATCTCCTGAAGCACAGCCGGCCCGCCGAAGAAGCGCACCACCGCCTTGCGGAGCTGTTCGTACGCCGAGTTGGGCTGGCCGTACTCGCCGCCGCGCACGACGACCAGGTTCATGTCCTCGGTAAGCAGCATGGTGCTGTAGCCGATCGCGATGGCCGTCTCGAGCTTGTCGCCCGTGGCCACCCACACGTTGATGCCGGCGCGCTTGAGATCCGCAATGGTCTCGGGCACACCGTCCTGCAGCTTGTCCTCGATCGCCGTGGCG